GGTTTGATAGTCACAGTCCAAATGTTCCTTGGATCTTCCTAGTGTTCAGAGAACCAGGAGCTCATGAGAATTATCCAACTGAATTGTAATTCTTCTGTTCATGCGTGTCTGTGAGCACCTTCAGGTAAGGGATTACATTTAATTCCTCTCCATAAATATACCCACTAAAGGGCCATGATGCTGGACAGACTTAGCCAGCATGCAGTAGAGGTTTCAACTCAACTGATGGGGTTGGCGGGCTGGAGAGAAAGGAAAAGATCTTTATTATTATTATTATTATTATTATTATTACTACTATTATTATTTTGAGAGTTGAACTTTCTAGCATCCTTGAATAAGTCCTAAAAGAGAAAATCAGCAAGACCTGCTCATCAAAGCATTGGTCAGCTTTGGTCCCCACAAACCTAAAATCAAAGGGAGTGCCACAATTTCCCAGGGCCCTGAAGGCATTCCAGCACTCAGCGGGTCCTAATAATTTGAACAAGGGGACCACTTCAGGCCTGCAATATTGCAATTTTTGCAGCACTGATGCGTGTGATTTGGGGCAAAATTTGACACAGGATCAGAAATAAAAGCAATATGCCGTCTAGGGTTGTTTATCCAACACAACAAATGGGGTGTAAGATATGTGTGGGAAACTGTGTTTATCATGTATACTTTACCTGAATCAGTTAAGCATTCATTCTGTACAATATTATCTGCATAGAGCCCATTTCTTCCTTAGAAGTCATAGGAGCCCAAGGTACTTTCAGAGCCTCTCAAAAATGTTTTAATTTCTTTTAGAGCTTCTAGGCCTCAACAAATATGGAAATACATAGGAATAATATATTCATTTTTATGCCAGTGCAGTCATGGAATTTAATTTTTAATTTTTAATTAATTAATTAATTTTGGAGGCTAGGTCCCACAAAGGTCAAAGTTATAACTTAACCCTGCAACCACACAGGCAGAGACTAAATCTGGTGTCATGAAGGGATAAACATCTTGTTTTCAGAAAAACATCAAATGATCTCTTAATCATAGTTGGGTGGATTGTTTTTGAGGACATTGGTAAAGTTTGGGGTTAGGCTGGTGGGGGAGGCACGTGATGGGTAAGGTGAGTCAGAAGGAACCTTGATCCTACATGTTTTCTGGATATGACCCTCATTCTCTCTCTCCCAAGCCTGCTGCTCTAGCTAATTAGCAAATCAAAAGAAATGGAAACAATTCTAGACCTAAGTGCAATCAAATTAGCTGGAGTTATTTGAGGATACCATTTTCACACAGTGTAATCATGCTCTCTTTGTTTTGGTCAAACGAGTGAAAATCATCTTTCAAACCCAATGACCGCCCCCCACCTCTGCCCAGCCAGTTCTCTGGACGGCGGCATTACATATCTCTTCTCATCAGTTTTACACACGATCTTTTCTCTAAAGACAGGAATGCACAATGTACAATTAGACAATACCCATCAAGCTTCCCCTACAACAAGAACCTATTAAAAATATACCTGACTTTTCAGGTGATTCAGCAGTAAGAACCATTACTGTACCATCTAAATCAGGACTTGGAAAGTTTATTAAAATTGGATTTTTAACCTGATCCCAATTTCCTCTGCTTAAAAAGAATCCCACTGGACTCCTTAATATTCATGCTATTAACCTGAAAGATTCAAACTGTCATTATGGGAGGAAAGACTATACAGGATACGTAGCTCCACAGGCAGGAGTTACAGATAAAATCACACTGAGCCCAGGCAGGTGGAAGGACTGTGGATCCTACATCCTCAGGAGAAGCAAACTGTCTTTTTCTCTCTCCCCTTCTTCTAAACTCTCTAGTCCATGACATATTTGGGGGAAAGAAAGCAAACAGAAATAACAAAAGCAAACATAAGCAAACCATTTAATTACAGAGAACACTAGACTAGGAGTCTAGTTTTTATTGGAAGGGTAGCTGCCTTGGATAAATCACCTCCACCCCTGGTGCCCTAATTACTCCCACTCACTCCTCTCATGACTTTAAACTTCTGTGCTTTTGTTTTTGTAAAATGAGGAAATCATAGAGGCTCCTGGGTGGCTCAGTCAGTTAAGCGTCTGCCTTCGGCTCAGGTCATGATCCCAGGGTCCTGGGATCGAGCTCCGCATCAGGCTCCCTGCTCAGCGGGGAGTCTGCTTTTCCTTCTCCCTCTCTCCCTGCTTGTGCTCTGTCTCTCTCAAATAAATAAAGAAAATCTTTAAAAAAATGAGGAAGTCATAATTTCTAAGAGGTCTGGTACAAGGACAAAATGTACACACCCTGTAATTCATCTTGCCCAAGTACCTGGCCCAAAAGCCTTGGATGAATCCCAGCCAGTATTATTACTAATTATTGGTTGAAGTCATAGCTCATTTGCTTTTGTTTCCATTTTATTCCTTCAGCCTCTGTCTTCTGCAGAACATAGTTTGCAGCTTAACTGATGCCAGTGAGTTTTGGTAAAGCTGGGTGTTGGGGGTCAGTCTGGTTTCTCCTTGAGATAAGATTTTCTGCTCCCAGAGGGCCGTGGTTGTGTCTTCACTGTCCACTTCTTGCTCAGTATCTGGCATAGTGTTGAACACATACTAGGTGCTCAACAAAGACTCTGGTATCTTATGATATTAGCAGCTTACAGATCACCTATTAAAACCCTCTCATTTTCTAGTTGATGACACGGAGTAAGAGGGTCTTATGCCACACATGTAGGAATGGCAGCCAGTCTTCAAGTGGACCACGACTGTGTCTCCTGTGAGCCTCCATTCTGAAACTGACAGCTCTGAGAGAGAAGCACATCTGACCTAATCCAGCAGTCCTTGAGGGAATATACTATGTTTCAGACACCATGCAAGGTCCTGGGGAGACAACACAGAGTTCTCTGTGGTTCCCAGCATGGTCCCCATACTCAAAGCATTTCTAATCTATGGGTAAGCAAAATCTCTAAGCTGATATTTTAAATACAATATTTGTGTTGTTACAGCAGAACTGAGTTCTGGTAGTATATAAATACCTGGTTAGGAAACTTAACTCATGCCCAGAAGAGGTCAGAGGAGGCTGTTTAAGAGAAATGACAAATGTCTTGGCAGAGACATAAAACTAACTAAGAACAAAAGAGCCAAATAATACTCTCTTACTTATCTAAACACAAGAACGCTAATCATTGATCAACGAACATTGGCCGAAATTTTTTAAAAAATGAGAGAAACTAAAAATCCAGTCCTCAAATTCTTAATCACTTGCCAGATCCACTTGGAGTTGCTTCCAGCAAGTGAAGTTTCTAGCAGAGACTCAGGGCTGGGGCTTAAGGTTCTCATTCCTTCTCAGACTTGTAGTAGGGAACCAAGCAGATCAGTTAACCTGCCTTTGGCTCCCAGCATGCGAATGGAGTCACTACCAGCCTCCCTTTGCATCTGGCAAATGAGTAGTGAGATTCAGACTATGTAACAGAAGCACTTTGAACTCTCAAGGAAAAGTAATCATTCCAACTTAGAACATCAGAGCTGCTGCCTATTTTGAAGAACCCATGATCTGCACAAGGTTTGGCTGCTGGTAGGAGCTTAAGGATACCAGTAATTGGCAAGGGCTTATCTCAGACTACCTTTTGACCTGCACAACCTCCTACGTGATTTTACACAGCTTCTTAGGATTTGGGGGGGGGGACTCCTTTTAAAGATAATATAAATTTAAATGCTGAGGCTTTTCAAAGTGGGGCTTTAAAGTGACTTAAAAATTATATATAT